ATTCCACGAAGTGAAATAACAGCTGGGTACTCCTCCTTCTCTCTTGTAGTCTCTGGCAAATATTGATGATGTCGTGAACAAAATCAGGCTGAAAATAAGGTAAGTAACACTGATTTTCGATAATTAATGGAAAAGATGTTGCTTATTTAACCAGCTTCTGGATCCCACTTAATCTGTGAGAACCTTGAAATCTTAAGTTTGCCATATATGGCAATTTTTAAAAAGACGGGTCTCTTGTCTGGATTTCTATTTGAGCCTGTGGCAAAGGGCTTGTTTCTTTGGTCAGCTGTTCAGCTACTCATAAAAACGGAAGGAAGCTGTGAGAGAGGTTATCCAAAAGACTATTTATAAAAGGAGGCAGAAGAATCTCTATTCTTTTCTTAATGGTCTTCTTTCCCTAATGGATTTTATTTATGTTTTATTTTAATTTTTTTGGGTCCCTAGTGAATTTACCTTGTCCTTTGTCTTCCTAAGGCTCCCACATGATGGGGAGCTGCCATGTGTGTCCCTTGGCTGCTTTCATAAGTGGCTGGATCTGCTGGGTGGTGGCCCAGGACTGAGCCCTGTGATTAATCCTTGGGGTGATTGTCGAGGACGGCCATGGAGAATGGACTGTCCTTCCTGCCCCGTCGTCTTGGTTTTGGTTTTCTGTGTCTGTCTGCATTTTTGGTTTTGATATGATACTCAGGAAATCCTTGTTCACTGTCTTACTAGTTGATACCTTTGCTTTTAAATACCTTTTTTTAAAAGAAATAATTTTTGATGAGATGATTTGTTTTCCTCTTTACAACCTTTTAAAAAATATTTTATTATGGTACAGAACAATAAAAATATTGGCCAGTGAGATATATATATAATCTGTCTTTCATTGGAGTCTGTACGTTTGCCTCTTTTGTCCCCTATTGGTACTTTTGTGACTGACTGACTGACTCCACTGGGCATCGTGTTTCCAAGGTTCATCCACGTTGCAGCTTGTTGCAGGGCATCATTTCTCTTTACAGCTGAGCAGCGTTCCATGACTGCACAGACCCCAGTATTTAAAAGTAATAATGTTTCTGCTTTCGAGCAGTTCAGGTTTACAGAAACATTGTGCAGAAAGTACAGCATTCCCAACTCAGGGGTTCTTGCCCCTGCACAGACTCTGCTGTTAGCAACATCTTACAAGCGCAGAGGCTACCACCGATGCGCCAGTACCGACACGTTAATACTGATGACAGTCCTTAGTTTGCACTGGGTCCCATCTTAGCGCTCTGTAGTCTCTTGGGCTTTCAAAAACACACTGCACCATGTGTGCAGCATTACAGTAGCATATGGACTAGTTTCTCTGCCTTAAAAGTACAAGACATTGTCTCTCCACTTAGCTGTTGATGGACAATTAGATGGATTCCACCTTTGGACTCTGACGGACCATCGCATGCCGCAGTGAACATTGGTGCCTACCCTTGGGTGAAGACCTCTGCCACGAATGTCCTCACACTGTTCTGTTGGGTGCCTTAGGAAGGGCAAAGAAACTTCTTTATTGTACTAGGAAAGTTGAGCTATGAAAATTCTGGGGATGGCCACAAAATTATCTGAAACCCAAGCCCATTGAGCCCATTTTGACCCAATAGTGACTCCATATAGGGTCTCCAAGACTGTAAATCTTTATGGGAGCAGACAGCCTCATCTTTCTCCTGTGGAGTGACTGGTGGGTTTGAACCTCTAACCTTGTGTTAGCAGCCTAAAGCCTGCTAGTAACACCACAGAAAGTGGAAATTCCCTATTGATCCAAAAATCACTGGTGAAACGGTTATTTAAAGACTGCTCTCCCCACCACACTTTTCATGGATTCTTCAAATGAAAAGTGACGCTCCGGGATATGATTTTTTTTCTGGTTGAGAGGCCACTAAATGCCCCCATTTTGAGCTCCAGGACAAGGAGGGGCTGAGGAAGCCACTGGTCACCGTTCTCTGGACAAAAGGACATTTCCCTTTCACCCAGTGAATCTTGATCTTTGTTCAGATGCAAGATCAGGGCCCCGAAGGTGGAGCCAGGGTCGGTTTTCTGTTTCACCCTGGCTCCTTGTCTCTTTTTAAGGTTCCCGAGGAAGTTTCTGGGGAAGGGATTTTTGCGGGGGGTCATCTGACCTCATTCTCTGGCTTGTTCCCATGAAGTTTCAGCAACTTTGTCATTCCTGATTTACTCCATGAAAAATATTGGACGTTTTATTGTTCTTTTCGTCGGTGTCTTTTTCTTTTTAAACAAAGAAGACTTTGTTTAAAGACTTTGTTAAAAGCCTTTGTGTGAGTCCGTGCACTGGCTGTGCCCCTGGAGAGCCAGGCTCAGCCTTTATGAGTGCTGCTGCCGCCCCGCCCCGCTTGCACCCCAGAGCACGGCCTTCGTTTTATCATTCACACGTGCTGGCTTTTCGGGACCAATAAGTGTCATCTGGAGGGCCCTGGGCGGCTCAAATGGTTTGTGCTTGCCTACTAACCTGACGGTTGGCAGTTCAGTCCCACCCACTGGCACTGTGGAAGAAAGGCCTGGCTTGCCTCTGTAAAAGATCACAGCCAAGAAAAGCACCCGGCGTGGGTCTGCACACCGGGTCACCAGGAGTTGGAACCTCCCTGAGGCCAATGGCTTTGCTCGTCTGCCTGTGTGAAGGGCAATCTCCAGAAGCTGCTGGATGAATTGCTCGCTCCCTCGTTTGACCCAGCTAGAGGAGAGGTTATCTTCCTCTAATAACCTGTGTCCTTTCACTTTCCTGCCAGGAGACTGGATGACAACATCCGCACTGTTGTGAGAGGGCAAACAAACGTGGGGCAGGATGGAAGGCAAGTAAGTACCTTCTTCCTCTGTGTGCACAGCACAGGCCCAGTTTCTTTCTGCAAGACCCCATCAATCAAGCGTCCAGATTATCTATCCGGTGTTTTGCAGAGGACTTTCCTGCTGAATTTTCCCATGCACAGCAGGGCATGGCATGGCTTGGCCTCCCAGCAGCAGCTGCCAGCTGCCCAGACTAGCTGTGTGTTCTCTCAGGTCCCCAGACCAGGTGCATACACTGGGGCACGGCTCTCTCTCCCATGGCTCCAGTGGGAACACTGATGTGTGCCCCTGACTGTCTCCTGTGTCAGGGATCTCTTGGGCCCCCTTTACATTGTGTGCTGAATAAGATTGCTGCTTTTGCCTACTGGTTACATTGTCGGGGTTTCTGTAATTTTTGTTGCTACAAAAGAGGACATGGGTACAAATCTTTATACCTGGCTTTAACTGTAAACGTGACCCCAAGCAAACCAAAACCCACTGCTAGAATTCAGCTCCAAGGGTTTTGCTCTAGCCACGGAAGGAAGCTGGAAGGGAATAAAGAGCAAGAGGCGGTAGGGGCGAGGGCTTCTCCAATGATTGAAGGGCCAGGTGTTATCTATTAACCCTTCCCCTTCTCGTTGGATTCTGTTCTTTGTTTCGGTGTCGTGTCTCAGAAATGCTGGGCGGGCCTTTCCTAGCCTGCGTCTCTTACAGGGTCTGGCCTCCCTTTTTTTTTTTTTATTAAACATAAAGTTTTATTTATTTATTTTTTAAAGTCATTTTATTGGGGGCTCATACAAGTCATCACAATCCACACATACATCAATTGTATAAAGCACATTTGTACATTGTTACCCTCATTATTATTTTTTTTAATTACTTTATTGAGGGCTCATACAATTCTTATCACAGTCCATGCATACATCTATTGAGTCAAGCACATATGTACACCTGTTGCCCTCATCATTCTCAAAACATTTGCCTTCTACTTTAGCCCTCAATATCATTTGCTCATTTCCTCCCTCCTTCCCCCCTCCCTCCTGAACCCTTCATAATTCATAAATTATTATAGTTTTGTCATAAGTTACACTGTCCCACGTCTCCCTCCGCCCTCTTCTCTGCTGTCCATTCCCCAGGGAGGAGGCTATACTTAGAGTCTTGTAATTGGTTCCCCCCTTCTACCCCGCATTCCCTTCCCCCTCCAGGCATCGCCCCTCTCACCACTGGTCCTGAAGGAGTCATCTATCCTGGATTCCCTGTGTTTCCAGTTGCTATCTGTACAATGTACATCCTTTTGTTTTGGCCGGTTTTTTCGGGTGGATTTGGGTTCTGATATTGGGGGGGAGGAAGCATTAAAGAACTAGAGGAAAGTTATATGTTTCATCGTTGCCACCCTGCACCCTGATTAGCTCTGGCCTCCCTTCCTGATGCGAAGTCACGGAGGAAGTGGCACCCCTTTTGATCAGTCGTTTACATTCTTTGCTCTTGCTAGATTGTCTTTCTTTTTTTAATATTTCGTACAGCTATTTAACTTCTACAAATGTTCGTTTTGCTGCCCAGGCTTTGGGTTGGGATGTAGAATCTTCTATAGCAATTTTCTGTTTTCTTCTGCCAGGAATTCATATGTGGTGGGATCTCCTTTCTTTGATGTTTTTTGGTTTTCCCCTACGTTTTATGCATCATTTTCTTTCACTTAGTAGTCATCTCCATCAGTTTATTTGTAAGTTTCCACCTTCTTGGGAACCCAGTGGCATATTGGTTCCGTGTTGCTCTGTTAACTGCAAGGTCAACAGTTCTAAGCCACCAGCCAGCTCCATCGGGGAAAGATGGGGTCTTCTACTCCTGTAAAGAGTTTACTGTCTCGGAAACCCACAGGGGCAGCTCTGTTGTGTCTTACAAGGTCGTTGTGGGTCAGAATTGACCTGGCGGCAGTGAGAGTGTGTCTTCCTTCCTTTTTGCGTCCACTCTGATTTGTCCGTAGGCACATCAGAGCCTCTGGGTGGTGCAAAGGGTTAACACAGCTGCCAGCGGCCAGGGTGGCGGTTGGGTCTGTCTTCCAGAGGCTCCTCAGAGCAAGTCCTGGGGATCCTCTTCTGCACTGTGCAGCGTCAGAGCACACTTCCACTCTGACACCCACGGAGTTCCCTGTGTTCAGTTGACCTGATGGCAACAGGTCCGACAGACGTAACGGGTTCCTGTAGCTGATCCCACTTCCTGTGCCTGGCCTGGCTCTTCCTTCTTATTGCTTTGCTTTTATCTCTGGAGCTCTCTGCGTGGAGCACTGCTTCTCTGGCAGATGGGACTCACGTAGAAAGTAGCACTAAAGCACTAAAGAGAACTAGGGTTCCTTGCCACACCCAGGCCTCTGTCTGCTCCTTGACTTGTCCAGAGGATGTCTGCACAGCTGCCTCTTCAGGAACCTAGTGACTTCTGTTTATCAACCTGCATGTGCCGTTTCGTCTCCTGCCCTGAATTTTAACCACACTGCAGGCTTTAGAGTGTCTAAAGCCTGCCCTGTGCTTCCTGGGTCTTCTTGGGCCTGAAATCTCTTCGCTCTTTCTCTTCTTCCTGTAGCTACATTTCCCAATCATACCCCATCTAGACAACCTTAGGTGCCGAGAGGCTAAACTAATGGTGATGAAATACTAGATGGGGTGGGCGTAGGGGAGGAACGGAAGAGAGAGAGAGAGAGAGAGAGAGAGAGAGAGAGAATGAGAATATGGATGAGAATGAATGGATGATGACCCAGTGGCAATTAGGTAACATTGTGATTGCACTGTTCATGTCGAAACCATGCCTGGGAAGTGTGTCTGGTTGTGTCTGTTGCAGGGCCTGATGCAAATGTTTCTTCCTCTATGAAATGTTCTGTTGACCTCATCTGAATCCACCCGAGAAATCAGGATTTTAGAATTCCAAGGGACTTGGAACCCAACTGGCCCCCTCATCTCGTTTGACAGATGGGACCGTTAATCCCAGCATCACTCAGAGGCCTGCTCTTTCTGCCAGCAAGCTCCCATAGTCCTTTGCTTGCGCTGCTCATTGGGTTTCGTGGCTTCCCTTGACACCCTGGTGGTTGCAGCGTGCCCTCTTAACTAGTTTCTAAGCTCCTTGAGGGCAAGACGTGTGTGTGCCTCGTCTTTGTATTCCTCAGTGTGCACGCTTCCTGCACGGTCACGTTTTCCTCCACTCTTTGTTCCTGTGACACTGTTTATTCATGGCAAATAAACAGAAACCCTTTACCTATCATATGCACAGCGCTTTGATCAGTGTGACTTTTTTTGGTTTGTTTTTCAAGTGCCTTTAAGCTGGGTTTGCGTCTGAAGAGTCCCAACTGATGATTGTTGGTATCATAACACCCCCATGTAGTGGGGCTCAGCTCTATGGCTTAGAAGAAACTGTAAAAGACTTCACAGAGTCTCAGGTATGCACAATCCCAAGAATGTGAAAATAAAGCGAGCTGATTCATCAGGGCTTTCTGTTGGGTCATGTTCTGGAGATATATATCTTCGAGTAATTTATGTTCTAACTGGCGGGTCACTAACTCACGGCTGGCACTGGAGAGCCAGGTCCGGATTTAGACAGCCCGCTGCAGGAATGGGGGCCTTCTCCACCTTCACATATTAATAGGTCACAGGTTGCTGCAGACGGGCAGGTCATATTTCAGAGCGCAAGACCGCATTTTCAAGAATGTTTAGATAGCATTTCAATCTGTGATGGAATTTTGTATTCATCTCCTTAGAATCCAGACAGAAAGGAAGCCCAGAAGAAATAATTGCTTTTCCTGTCATCCCCTCCATCTGTCTTTTCCAACAGTTTGTAATGCAAGCTGAGGGAAAGACCCCACTGCCCCCCTGCCCCCAGGGAGCTTTTCGGGCCGTCCTTGTCAACTCCTAGAGTGAGAACCTTGCCCCCAGCCCTGGCTGCCCAGTGGGCTGCGGAAAGGAGGCTGTTTGACTGGCACAGACCCGGGCGAAGTATGGCTGTTCCAAAATACTGCGTTTTATAGGTCAAGAGGCCCACATTCCCCTTTTCCCAGGAACAGAGGAAAAGTTTTCTTGTAGAACTTGTTCCCTAAGTTTCTGAGAAACGCTCGGGAGGGGAAGCGTACAGCCATTTGGACAAAAGGAAGCTTCTCTTTTATGAAGTTAACCTTGATTCTGTTCTACCAGGACAGATGGGCTCTTTCATCGGGAACTAAGGACAAATGATTGACTTCGCCTTCCTGGTGTTAAGACACCTTTAGCAGGAAAGTTCTCTGAAAGGCAGTGTTTCTAAACCCCGCATTATTTGTTGAGAAGGGGTGATTGAGAAATGAAAGACATCGTGAGGCTGTTCCTGGGCCCTCTTGGGATTTCTGAAATTCCAGCCACTCGGTTAGCACTGGACTTCACGTCCTGGTGAGTCTCTGATGGCTGGCTCCTCCTTATGTACCTACACTTGATCTTGTATAGTCGGTGACCTCTTCTAACCGGAAGTTAACTGGGCTCTGAACGATCTTCATTTTTATCCGCCTTTGTGGTATGGCGAATAAAGGCCAGCAAGCACACTGGCCGTTACGCATGCACTGAAGCTTACACAGCCCTCCGGAACTCGGATGGCTCACAAAGCAGCACCCGCCAACCCCTGCCGGCTGCTTGCTCCAGGGACACAGAGCCCAGCTAGAAAAGGAGTGAACTGGGGACGAAGCTCAAATTCACCCACGTAACAGATCAGACTTCCTGGGTTGAAGGAGACTGGAGGGATCTCCCTGACTCTTGCCCCCAAATGTCCATTGAACTGGAATGGAAGCTACCCCCAGAGGTCATCTTCCAGCCAAATGGCCCTGTACAATCAACACCGACACTTGTACAATGCTATGCATAACGTGTAAAATGCTATTAGCAGCTTGGATTTAGAAAGAAAGGTGAGTGGAGGAGTAGGGTTAGAAGGAGACAAGAGTTAGCACATGAAATTTCAAGAGTAAGAGGACTGCGAATCCTGAAGGGAGGATGAGCCACTAGGTCTGTCTCTTGAGTGGAGCTTGATGACAGAGT